GCAAACCCGGGTGTCAACGAAAGGCTACTACGGTCCGTTCGTCGAGGTGGATGACTTCTACAAGAAAGTGCACCTTACGGAGGACCTGAACAGCCAAGTTCGTTCCAGCTCGCCACTAAACCCTTAACCCTCGGCCAGTATGCTTTTGACTTGGGAAACAGGTTTACAACATCTACCGGCTTTGAACTCTGAGCCCACGGCTTGCTGACGAATCTGGGGTGTACTGGCGTGCGGGTTTGGATCACGAATACTCTGCTGAAGCCTGTTTGAGGTACTCTACACCAGCAATACACAAGGAACTTAGGAATTTGTATTTATTTCGCTTTCTACAGTACGTTGGCTTGGGCCAGGGTCTTTCCATGTACTCCCTCACATGGAGGCTTTGCAGTGCAAAGTGTCACTAATCTATAAGCCCCGACTCCATCTGGGTTCGAAAAAGGCACGAACTCTGAGGGTCAGGGGAGCATGTACATGCCTGTGCGGAAAGGTGCGAACTTTTCCAAGCCAGTGGGCAGTTTGGGGGTAGTTGGAGGTTTGCCAGCAGAGATGTTTTCCTTGCACCCAGGCCTTAAAGGTCAGCCAGACGCCGATGTCTGAAGATGCCAGGAGCAGAAGAGTGTCGAGGCGGCAAACAAGAAGGAACTCCTTAAACTGAACGAGACACTGGAGGAGGACATGTGGCTTGGGGATCATACGCTTGATACCCCAGGAAGTGCTATACCCGAAGCTCTGAACCCCTAAACCCATACACTCCTAAATCCCTATAGACCACTACAAGCCCCTGGACTACTAAACCCCTGACCTCCTAAATACCCATGCAGACCCATCTACTCCTGAACCCCTCAAGCACCTCAAGGCCTCCATCTCGTCTGAAGAGCCCAACCTAACAGGAGGGTGAGAAGTATGTCATCGAGTTCAGTGAAGAGCCGCTCGGACAAGACTGGAGTTGGTCAGATAGGGTTTAGGGTGCAGCTGCATATGCATAGTCCAGGTGTAAAAAGGGTGCAGCTGCTGAGATCTGGGTTGAGGGTCTAGGATTCAGGCGTTCGGGTTTAGGGTTAAGTGCTCAGCGTTTATAGGGTGTAGGATCGGGCTAATTGCGTCATGTAGCGCTTTTGAGAGCCTGGTCAGTTAACACGCCCCTTTCCCGCTCATGTGTTACGCATACGAACCCTAAAAGACGGTTTTGGAGGACAGACTTGCCCAAGATAACATGAAACCCGGTCGCATCCTTTGAGAGGGATAGTGGTCTTTGCTTAGCTAAGCAGGTGCTCGGAAGCACCTGAGGCTCGTCGTGCCAATAACCAGAACGCCGAGAGGCAACAGATAATTTAGCTCAGCCCCCCGGGCCCCCAGTCCCAAAACCATGCGGCTCAGGGTTGGGGTTCAGGGTTTGTAGGCTATCTTATTGGATGTGTATCTCTTAGATGATGATCTAAAGGATCAGGGGGATGTTCTGGGCCGGCTGCCTGATGACGTCCATCGTGACTTCGGCTTCCTTTCCGTATTCACGGGCGTTGATTCTCATACGGCTTCCAGGTTCGGCAGGCTCCCCCGTGCTTCAGATCTTTCAAAAGTAGGGTTTCTGCCACGAGTGCGGCAGCTCTGAGATCCAGGCGGACTTCTACAAGTCTGTGTAAAAAACCGAGGTGAGGCATCCAACACCAAAGGCCTGTGCCTCGAACCTTTGATCCCAGGCACCCCAACTCCAAGACCTAAACCTCAACACCAGATAACCGCAGCCCTAAAACCCCACGGTTTAGGGCTCAGGGTTTCGAGTTTAGAGTGAGCCCTAGGGGCCAAGGGCCTTCCAAGGCCTGACACCCAAGGTATGGCCTGATCGACATCTTCCGGCCGGGCCCCAACAACTCCATCGACGTCTGCATGAATGACACAGGGAGCGATACAGCTCCGACCTTGTTTCCCTGATCAGATTTTGTTCGAGTTGCCGGGTTCTGTGGGCACCTGTCTCCACACTTCCGTGCAACAACACACTTTTGTTTCCCCGGTGAGGGCACAGTGCTACGGCTGCTGTCTTCTTCGGCCCTCTTGAGATGTACAGACATTATCAGGTGCAACTTGCCCTGCGCACAGCTGCATGAGGACGAAATCCCCTGCAGAAGCTGCTTCTCAGGTCGCGATGCCTACGGCAAGAGGCTTCTGGTCACGGAATCTTTTCGTAGCTCAGCGTCTTCCTCAGAAGCCTGCAACCTACGGCCATCTAACATAGATCCCCTTCACCCCTACCGGGCCTAACGCTAAGTCTTCAAAGCCAAGCTTTTGGGACCCGCAAGCCGGGGCGGACTTGCCGGGGCATGGCGAACAGTGTTGGGAGCGGTGATCTTGCACGTGTTTCAAGGAAAAGCCTCTAGTTTGAAGGTTGGGCGTTTGGGATTTACAGGGTTCTAGTTCGCCTGAGGCCCGAAACCTTCAGCAGATAAGCCCCTGGTGACTCCACTCAAGGTAAAAGCCTCAATGCCGCAACCATGAAACCCCAACCCGCCATCACCCCGAACCTAGAATCCTAAGCTGCCGCAACCTCAAGCCACCGGGACTAGGTAAAGAACTGGGCGAACTGGAATTGGTAAATAGCTTGTATGATCTGAGTTATAGGAGGGGTGAAGCGGCACACTAGGCGTTCAGGCAAAAGCTCATATGAGTTGGACAGTTAAGGGTTTTCGGGCTTAGGTTTCAGGACTCAGTGCATCACAGTCCCTGCTCAAACAAAGGTCAAGGGTTTAGAAATGAGGGTTTAGGGTTAAGACTCAGGATTTGGGGTTCAGGGTGTATACTGACTGAATCGTCTGGACTAAGCCCGACACCCAATACTTGCGATTCCTCCGGCCCTCTAAAAACCATCAGCCTTAGCAACAGGCCCTGCAGTTACAAAGCCCCTGGTGACCTTCAAGTAGCCTCAGCTCTAGACTGTAGTTTTAATCCACAGACTACCTGAACCCCAGATATCACTGTAATCCCGAAGCCCTTAAACCCCTAAACCTAAAAACCCCAAACCCTGAGCCCGCCGACCCGGAGCACCACCGCCACCGCAGCCGCCACCTCACCACGACCGCCGCCGCCACCCCCACCACCACCACCACCACCACCACCACCTCCACCACCTCGCACCACCACCACCAACCGCCGCCACCACCACCGCCACCACCACCGCCACCACCACCACCATCACCACCCTCACCGCCCCCCGCCACCACCGAAGGCAACAACAACAACAACAACAGCCACCACGACCACACCGCAACCACAACTGCAACAAGCACCACAAAAAAAACCACAACCACAACAGCAGCAACCGGAGTAACAATGGCAACAGCAATGTCATCAACAGCTGCAGCAGCCACAACCACAACCACAGCAACCACAGCAGCAGCACCATAACAGCAGCAGCAGCAGCAGCAGCAGCAGCAGCAGCAGCAGCAGCAGCAGCAGCCGCAACAAGCAACAAGAAGCTACAAGAACCACATAAGGAATAACAGCAGCAACAACATCAACCACGATGATGTTGTTGATGAAATGAATCATTAGCAACAGTTGGGTGCCTGGGTAGGACATAGTGGCTACTAGGACCAGGTAGTAACTTCGGCACCCCTAAATGGCCTCGGAACCGTTTCTTGCGGGAGGTGTGCTTCAACCTTTGTCCACAACAGCTGCATCAGATGTGGGCCCTGAATCTCCGAAACTGGGGCCCTCGTACATGCATCATAGGACGGCGGGCTTGTGCGGCGCATCAGAAAGTATAGAATCAAATACCACTCCTTCCCGCCACTCCCACCTGAAGCCTCACATGCATCGAAAGCGATACCCCGGCAACTGTTCTGGATCGACTTTAGAGCCGTCGGGGAAAGACTGAGCGACTGCTTACGCTTTTACTCCCCCGTTCTGCGAAATGACATCATTCACAGGTCTGCCTGGACGGAGCTGGCGGTTTCGCCCCGCTCTAGCAAGGACCGGGTGGTTGGTCTGCCTGTAATCAAACGTCCTAGAGACAATATAGGATCCTGCACGATACTACAGATGCTACAACGCACGCAGGGTCGGGTAGTTGATTCGTTTCGGATCAGACCCCTGAGCCGTTTAACCCTCAACCCAGAGTCCAAGTTGCGAGAGTCCAAACCCAAACTGCGCCATTATACTATAAGTATAACTAGGAACCCCCCAAAATAGCATATTCCTGGTATTCCTGTGCGAACTCCAGAGCCCTATTCGGGCGCCAAAATAGCATAGGCATAGGTAATTATTACGGTGCAAGACAATCCAGGAGGCTCCGGAATCGCCGATCGAGAAGTTGGTTGCCAGCTTCACCTTCAAGGCCTTCTTGCAGATTTATATTATAGTCATGTAATGTATATTATATATAAATATGTTTGGAAATTTTTGTAAGTAAAGTATGTCCGAGTACATTGTAGTTTCTTAGAGTAGGTTACAGCATCTTGGAGTACCTTGGAGTATGTTAGAGGTATATCAGTGCATTTGAGTATATTAGAGCACGCTAGAGTTCATCGCGTATTGGAGCGTATGAGATTTTCATGTCGTGTTTTACACTACCTTATCTTTCTTATTCTTAGTATTTTTTTATTATTAATACTATTATTATTGTATACTACAGTGTGTTATAGTATCTCAGAATCTTTAATAATGTATTGCAGCCAATAACAGTGCGTTATCCACTCTTGCTAGTTTCTTGCCCGAGAAATGAATAGGAAGCACCAGCGATGCCGGGAGCCATGAGGCATCGACTTTGTGAGTTGTTGCAAGTGCGCAAAATCTACTTGGGCAGCGCGTAAAAATGGCTGGTTCACGGCAGACAGTATAGGTATAAAACTAGTATGACACGGGCTTGATCCACTGATTCCTCTTCTGGCTTGCAGGTGCAGGCAGCTTGGTACGTGCAAGTAACATGACAGCCACATGTGAAGCTTCTCAGTCTCAGCTGCATCGTCTTGCCAAGAAGCGGCTGATTCCTGTAGACCCGGCCGTGTGCCATGCAGAGCGCCTTGCATGGTGGCTTGGCTCCAGCAATCGCCGGCTTGCTCTGGCCTTCGGAAGTCCAGGACCTCTGCTTCGAAAGTCATTTCAAGGACGTGCCAGACTCACATCGTCATAAAAAGTTGGAATACCAGAGCCCCAGTTGTGGATCCTCCTCCTACTGTAGCCGAAAAACCTCAAAGATCCTCTTGGAGATAGTCAAAGGAGCAGAAAGGTGGAGCTGCAAGCACCAACAACAATATCAAGCAGCACAGCAGAAATACACATAACACTGCTCGCAATCGTACTAACAATCACAAAAACAAAAATGCGATTGACAAGGCATGACAACACAACTAATCCTAATCATGTAATGACAACCGCAAGAGCAAATAGCAACAAGTGTAAACGCTGTAAGAACAGTTCTGCTAAGACTCACAGTAGCAAGAATTCTGTTAGTGCTATCGATCGCATGACTATGGGTTTCAAAAATACAGGGGCCTCAACAATTAGAATACGGTTTGGGGGTGGTACATTAGACTATATTTATAATACTTAAGGAGCCCCCCAAATACTATAATCGATACTTATAAAAAGGCCCCTATTAGAAAAAGCTTATAGTAGTCCCGATAGCCCCCTTTAAAAAGGAAACCTATCCTCATATAGTAAGTAACCCTTGTTATTGTAGGCCCCTTTCAAGGAACTCCTAAGATAGCACTGTTCATTATTATGGCCCCCTTTAAAGCAACTCGTAAGATATAGTATTGTGAAGTATTATGGCCCCCCATATGATGTGAAGCAGGTCTTGCAGGCAGCTGCGCAGCGATTCACGGAGTTGCGGGCCGCTGCGCTTCGCTACCTGACCTCCCCAGAAGCTCGCAGGCCTTTGTAAGAGCACAACAAGTAGTAGTAGTAGTAGTAGTAGTAGTAGTAGTAGTAGTAGTAGTAGTAGTAGTAGTAGTAGTAGTAGCAGTAGCAGTAGCAGTAGCAGTAGCAGTAGCAGTAGTGGTAGTGGTAGTGGTAGTGGTAGTGGTAGTGGTAGTGGTAGTGGTAGTGGTAGTGGTAGTGGTAGTGGTAGTGGTAGTGGTAGTGGTTAGTAGTCGTCGTCGTAGTAGTAGCAGCAGTAGTAGTACTGCTTCACGGTTTCGGGTTTAGGGCTGTGAAGAGCTTCCAGGGTCCAACTTCCGGGCGAAGTCGCAAGCCTGCTCAAAAAAGGCCTTCGTAAGAGCACAATAAGCTCACCTCTTTAAGAAATATAGTGGCCTAAATGATTACCAATACTATTGCAGGCCTTTCGCCCAAAGGGTCCAAGTAATAGTATAGTAGATACTTTGGGGGCCCAAATATCCACACAGTACCTTCTATACTGGTAATTGGACTCTTTGGGTCGTACGAGCACGATAAACTCACCTTTATGACGACAGGGTTTAGGGTTGGGGTTTACGCTTGCAGTTTGAGTTTGGGGTGTATGCGAAATTAGGAACAACTCAAACAACCATAACCTACGATTTTGGGCAGGGTGTCCAGTAAAACTCGAAATCATGAGGAATTCCTCGCGACTCTATGCCAACAGAAGGGTAGGCTATGGTATAGGTCCAGGCACGTGTTGGTTTGATCATCGGGCGTAGGGTCATGACAAGGCGCATCACGAATAGAGCAAGTTTGCTGACGAACTCTGGCGATGTGGTAGTCCGGATGGGACGGAATGTGGCCAACGGCTGCAACAAGCGTTGAAGGCTGAGGTATAGATTGAAAGCCGTACCAAGAGACCGGAGAGTGTAAACAAATCTCAAGTTAGTATATAACCTCAGGAAGACTTCGGGTAGTCCCGCGAAGGTCCCTCCTCGAGATGATCGCAGCCGCTGCCGGCAGTGCCACGGCGGAGGCGGTCTTGACGTTCGACTCCTCTCCAGCAAAGCCCTGGCCGTCCTTTGAAGATGCTCTGCTGGTTCTCTGGTGCTGCGATCAGCCTATCCACCGGGAGCGAAAGGCCATGCAAGTTGCCCTCAGAAGTGGCCCTGTGATGGCCGTGAGGTGGTTGCTTTCTGCACGGGCCGATGTGGAGCAGCCGGTGGAGGGAGATTTGACGCCTCTGCGCTTGGCTGCCCGCTTCGGGAGTGAAGAGCTCATTGAGATGCTTTTGGAAGGCTCCGCGAACCCCAACAGTCGCGGACGATTTGGCAACACAGCCTTGATGGTTGCTGCCATGCACGGCCATCACAACATAGTCGAGCTGCTCCTGAGCAAAGGCTCTCAGGTCAACACGAATGGCGATGGCGAGACCGCAATTGATCTCGCTTGCCGTTACCCGGATGTCGCTGACCTGCTGACCAGACATGTAAGCCAATATGGCTGGACCGGTGCTCGGCCGTTGGAAAGAGCAAGGAGCTAGGGAGGGTTTGCAAGCCCCTTTACCCTGGCTGCTGCTTCTTCGGTAGGAGGGCGGGAGGGGGGGGGGGGCTTTGCATGGCAGGCCGTCTGCATGGTTGCCATCATCGCCAACACGATGTACCTGGGTGTCAATGCGGACTGGAAAATCAGGCAGGCGCAAATGGGAGTTTTGCGAAGACAATCGACCCAAATATACCTAGTGAGTTTTGAGCCTGCTTCGTGGAGGAATGCTTTCGGTCCCATCGACGGTCGCCAAAGAGAGGTGGAGGATACCGCTTGGGACATAACCTTCGCGGTCTGGCTTCTTGGCTTGAAGCATCCTTGTTTGACCTCTGCCTCCGGTTTCTATGTACTGTCGTGGGTCGGTTTGTTTTCCTTGCTGCACCTGTATCCGTACTGGGGCTTCAAAGCCTGAGGTTCTCCATTGAGATCCTCCTACGCTTGCTGGCTGAAAAGATCAGCTTTTTCACCGGCGAAGAGCAGGCGCACC